GCATCAAATAATGGTAACCATAACTACCAGTGTTATTTTTTACCATGGCAACGAACTAAATTGAATAAGTCATACATACTTCCAAGATTTCGCATGGAGAGATTGAAACCATGCATTAATAATGGAATGTGTACCCATGTGGTGTGTAATATAGTCAAATGTCCTTTTTGATATTTATTTGGTTTCTTCTCGCATTTTACTATAAATTATACATGAATTGGAGAATGCAAATATTCTATTTTTTAGAAAGATTTCTATCATTCCCACGTACGTCACCGAGCTCATACATATCTTGTGCAAAACCCCGCAGACATATTATAGAATACTCTTTCTTTTCTAAATTATAAGATGTTTTTGTTAAAAGTACAAAGATTAAAAAATAATAAATGTTTATTTATTTATAAAAATTTAACCAATTAAAAAAACAGCAGAATTCAAAAGACCATAAATAAACTAAATAACATAAATTATGCATAAAAATCTGAGAAAAGTTTATACTATGGAGCAAGAAAAAAGTCTTAAACATTATATAATTTAGAACAGAGGGAGTAACATTTTACATTCACAAAACTCCAAATTTTTTGTTTAGTATTTATAACTCTAGTGGTCTAGTGTGATCTCGTTAGATGCACAATCTTTCTATTACAGCAGAAATCACATTAAACATACTCTACAAAATAATATAGATTTTAAGGTATTGTTGGTCAAAGTTTATTCTACTCTGCATCCTCAGATCTTACTCTCAAAGGGTTTGAAGATTTGGATTGAGCCTCATGTTCTAACAGTCGACGCTCTACAACTAGTTTCACTATGTTTGTTGGTGATTTCTTAATATCCTGGAAGTCTAAGAAGTAACATGTTATCACTAAATCATCTGCAAAGGTTTAATATAGAGCATTAGCTCTTGCTACTTGTGAACTAGTCTAGCTACAAACTTTACTGATCTTTCTAAAGGCTACTTCATCAGTTCATGTCTTGTATTCAAATTTATATCGCCACCACTCATGTCTTTCACGAGAAGATGAAGCATATCGAAATTGACTGTCATATTGTTAGGGAGAAACTGGATAATGGACAGCTCTAATTGCTTCATGAGCATACTGACGATCAGATGGTTGACATTTTAACTAAACATTTGTTCCTATATCAGTTTAAACATCTTAAGTCCAAGATGATCATTTTCAATATCTTCGTAAACTCATTTTGAAGGGGCCTATCAAATTATGTTTCTCGGTTTTGTTGGTTTATTCTTTCGTTTTAACTTAACCTTGTATAGCTCTAGTATATAAACGTTGTACAAACATTTTACAAAATAATGAGAAAATATCTTTGATAAGAATCTCTAACAAACTCTCTCTTTTTCGTCAATCGTAATATACATATCAAGATTACCCATGTGGTGTGTAAATATAGTCAAATGTTCTTTTTGATATTTTATTTTGTTTCTTCCTCGTATATTCTATTACAAATTATACATGAA